GCGGTTATATATCTAAGGCCCATTTATTTTTAAAATAAATAAATACCACCGCAGAAATCATCGGCCCTGTATATTATTATTCAGCCTACTTGAGAGGTGGTATAGGAAAAATGTCGATCTGGGAATTAGAGTTCTCCGATCATCATTTTGATGATCAATTGGAAATTCCCAGACTGACATCTCTCATTTGTCTTTATGATAAGTTGCTGAGCCATGGAGACATTACAGATAGCACTGATCATTTGAAAAGTTAAATAAAAAACTTATTATTTGAATGTATTCTTTTGTGTTTTGAACAAATGGAACTAAAATTTCTCCGCAAAGTTTCGGAGATGTGTATTTATTTTTAACCGATATATGTACTGTATACAGCGCATACAATAAATTAAAGGTGATTTTTGTTTACTATTGTTTTAGAGAATTCCTCACCTGACAACCTACCTGATCATGCCATGACCCCTAAAGAAATCAGCCCGTCCCCTAAATGTAGTAAAATTACTATATGCGTACTAGTCACGTGATTAATATCTGAACTGGCCAATCAGATTCAAATGCTGAATAATATGCCCACTTTGTACTATATTTCCTTTGTCTGAGTTCGTAACACTCAAAGTATTATAAATTTATATATTAATATTATGTCACGTAATTTCATTTTTTGAAAATGTATAATTTGAAAAAAATGTCCGTTTCTCTTCCTAATGATGTTCAATATATAATAATCATCTTTCTTAATAGCGATGACCATGAAACCAAATATATTCTTTACAAGTACCTTTTTGTAAATCGGTTTTGGTGTAGATGTATCATACCTATCCTATGGCGAAGACCTCGCGTAGATGCACGAGTCATTCGCACTTATCTTTCATGTCTCAACTACGATGAATTAAAAGTTTTAATCCCATTTCGAATCAATATTCCAGCCAATAAACTACCATTATTTGAATATGGAAAGTTCTTGGAGATAATTAATCTTTCTGATATAAACAGATCTGTAAAATCATGGTTAAGCAAAGAAGGATATAAAATTGAAACCAGTGCATGGTATAGAGTAATTGAACCTCGGGATCATTTAATGAATAGTGTAAAGACAGCAATCTGGCAAATGTTGATGCGTAAATGTCGTAGAATAATAAATATCGATTTAAAACTGGAGCTAGAGGAAGGAGATATTCCAGATATTTATTCTAGAAGAGCGATTTATTACTTGAAAAGTTTCACTTTTAACGTACTTTCAGTTGAATTTAAAGAACAAGTCTATAAAAACAGTATCGAATTACTTCGACGACTGCCATCACTCTCTACGGGACTTAAACGCATCTTATGGAATAGTTCTTTATACCCTGATTTACTAGTAAATCTTATTCAAACACAAAATGGACTTGAGTCTTTTAATATCTCTCAAATGTCGTTTCGTTCGAACCTGACAGTTTTATCATCTTTAAGAGATACACAATCTACAACCTTAACTTCTTTTTTTGCTTCACATGTTCATTTTGATAATACTTGAATTCAAATAATAGGTGGTTTCCATAATCTGAAGACTCTTGGTTTATCATATTGCGCTGGATTAGAGCCTAGACATTGCGAAATCATAAACGGAGCATCATTTCGTTTAAATAACATAATTTTACGTCATAATTCTTGGTACTTTAAGGTAGATTTAGCAATTTTCGCAAAAGCTGGTCATGATTTACGGACCATCACTATTTATGACAATTTCTCATCAGAAATAATTCGAGAAGTTCATAAACATTGCCCAAATATTACAAAAATGATTATATACGTAGAAAGTTCGATGTATATTCCATCATTTTGTAATTGGATTAGCTGCCTACAAAATTTGCATACATTGATTATTATAGATGCTATTGCCTGCCCACGTCTTTCTGAATTAGCTAAGAAATTGCCCAAATCTCTTCAACATCTTAAATATCATGGAAATTTAGCTTCGATAGATGTGTTTAGTAAATTTTTTGAATGTTGTATGGTTCCTTTAAATACTATTAGTATTTATCCCATAAGTCTTAACTATGTTTTTAGTCAATATATTTCTGTTATATTCGAGTTTGCTATTAGAGTCAAGAGTTTAAAAAGATTATTTCTTAGTAGAAGAGCTATACCAAAACAATGGCAGCCTCAAGAGTTGGAAATAAAAAAAGGGTTAGAGAATCAAGGTGTAGACTTACGTATGCTTTTTTCAATTTACGATGATTAACGTTAATTGTTGACGGTTATAAAAAAAATTATTTATTTTGGACAAATAGATCTATATCTTTTTGCCATGAAAAAAAAATAAAGTACTGAAGTTTGGTTTTTAAGCAACTGAAATATACATTTAAACATGTATGATTTATTTTAAACATGCTGTAGTTACGCATATACTGTAAAGTGCAACTTTGTATATCAAAAAATATTGTATTCCTTCTAATTTGTACGTAGCAAAAAAATGCATCACGCGCTTATCCACTTTCTGGAAGGCAGTCCACCGAATGTTCTTATAAGCTTACCTTGAAACTATGTACAACACTGTATATATGATGCTGAAAGTGGGAACGGAATCTAAGTGGGTTTAGAATTTCTAAATTCCTTTGTCGTATACAGTAAGAGAAATGGTGGGTATTTTAACATATTACAATAAACCGGTTTTTTTTACTAAGTAAACTGAATCTAATTAACTAAGTTAAGTTGTTCGAAATACCATCTTTCAAATTTTAGTGCAATATTAACTTATTACTAATAGGTTTTTTTTTGTTATACGTTTTGGCGCGGAAAATTCAATTTATTGCGCCGAAACGTATAACGAAAAAACCTATTAGTAAAAAGTTATTAATATTGCGCCGAAATTTGAGGGTAAGTAAAAGATGGTAAATGAGATTCAGCTTACTTCGTAAAAAAACAGTTTATTGTAATATGTTCAATTCGTCAAAATACCCACATTTACCTTATAAAGTATTAATCATTGCGTTCGTCAAAATACCCACAGGAAAGTTATAAATTATTGTTACATAGTATAATTTTTTTATATAATGTAGAGCAGACTCAAATTTACACAGTTCAAAAATAAAAAAAAATAAAATTTTATGTTTTTGGCAGACTTTTGTTAGTAAGAAGTGTTAACTTCGTCAAAATACCCACATTTCCTTATACAGTTTACCCTCAATATAACGTAGTGGTCGGGCTGAGAATTCTGTCCGTTATAAAGAATGTCCACTATAGCATTATATAACATAATGATAAAAATTTTAAATTGTTTCAGAAAATTGCTCCGTTATAACGAGGTATCCACTATAACGGGGTCCGTTATAACGAGGGTAAACTGTATATGAATAAATTCCAAACCCATACTCCAAACAGAAGTCTGATCCAGTTAAAAAAAAAAAAAAAAAAAAAAAAAAAACATTCGAATATTCATTTGAAAAACTTTGAATGTATGAATAATTATTAACGCAATATATAAAATTCAGCTCTAAATAGCTCTAAATAAAGATAATCATTAGCGCTATATAGTTAAGCTATAAAATTAAGTACGTACGCACAGTACGTATGAGTGAAAATCTGTAACCAATTATGGTAAATCATTAAATGTTTTCACTCTCACGCTCATATTTAGATTTAGTGAAGAAATTTGTTTTCGGATATTCAAATATTCAGCATTCAGCGACTTTAGGATCAAAAGTCTAGCCCAAAAAATACTGCTACATTAATAAATTTTGCATTATTTGATGTTTGAGTGAAATACTGTAGAATTAATGTGAAAGTTATCCGAAGAGACTTTGTAAGTGCGCACGTATGTACAGAATAATCACCTGGATCAAAAAGTGAGTATTCAAACTAATGTCCCTCAGATCTTTGGCCTAATTTACTTTGATGAAAGAGGAAAAAAAAAACCCCCATTAATACGCCCTGAAACTGTACTTTCTATCGATTCGGTTATTATTTTTATGTATGTTTTGCTGGCGATGTCAAATAAGCCTCTAAACAAACAATGTTCACGATTTTCGCGAAATATTTAATGAATTTTTTTATTTTTTAATTTTTAACGTTAACGTTATTAGTAATCACATTTTATGTTGGATAACAATAATTATACGAAGTTAGCACATGATGATAATTATTACGTTAATAGTAACTTGATATTGACAAATATCAGGATAACCCTGGTTTATCGTTTATATAAATGGTTAAAATAGTAGTGGTAGTTTCTATGAAGCCTGAATTTTCTTACTTTTTGAATGAGGCAAAGTGAAAGAATGGTAGCTGCCGGTCAACTCAGCCACTATTATTTATTTATTGTGTAAGAAACGAAAAGAAAAAATAACGTTTGTTTTTTATACTTGGTTCGAACTATTATTACGACAAGAAACTCGAATTATCAATGAATCTAATTTCATTTCATCTTTGGAAATAATAATATTAGAAATAATTTTTTTTTTTCGGTCACTTAAAAAAAAATTATGAATCCATGTTACCAATTCATTTTAAAGTATCATAATTTAGTTAATTCTCGCATTTTGATATTAAATATTTTGCTCATTATAATCTTCACTATTTTACTTCAATCCTTTGTAATATCGATTGACGATAAGCTTTCAAGTGATCCTGGTAACATGGGGTCTTATTCCACGGACGATAATGATGATTCGTTCCTATATTACGAAGAAACTGCTACAGCCGATACCACATCCCCAAATGCAACTACTATTATCACTGGTTGTGATGTGGCATGTATGAAATTGTGGTTAGTTTTTAGCGCAGTAGTAGTAATAGCTTTAATGCTAGTACTCTATCTCTGTGTTCCTGCCATATGCAGACCGAGACGAAGAAGGAAATCAACTTGGTTAGAAGAAGCTAAACCTAACAAAAGTGATGTTACTACTGATGCTTATCATCGGGCAATAGAGTATATTAGAGCACGTCCTCCTAGTGAAGAATTACCACCCTATAAAGAAATACAGGATAAAAAGGGTTATTCTGCTTGGCAATTTGAAAAAGGAGGACATAGTTTAGTTAAATCTGAAGGAAAATGGATAGAATTCTTTTTTAAGAGTACTGAAAAAAATGTAGAATCTATGATACAAACCAATTATCCATTTTTGATGAGTGGAGAGTTGGGATTTGAAGATGTGATGAATTATTTTGAAGTTACCGTAAAGTCTATGTCGAGTCAAGTAAACACTATATCAGTCGGTTTGACCACAAAACCTTATCCATACTTCAGGTGAAACATATGTATATATACATATATATATATATATATATATATGTATACGTATATGTATATGTATGCGTTTTATTTTTAAAAATATCACATAAGGAAAGATACTAAATTTCAATATTTCTAGGCTTCCTGGATATCATGTAAACTCTATTGCATACCATTCCGATGACGGCCGAAAATTTCATAGCGATCCTCATGGAGGAGTCGACTACAGTCATCGATGGGGTAAAGGCGATACAATTGGATGTGGATATAGACCTGACGATGGTGAAGTATTTTTCACAAAAAATGGAAAATTCTTAGGTGTAGCATTCAATGGCAATGATGTAAAGCACACTTGGTATCCATCTATTGGTACTGATGGATCTTGCGAATTGGAGGTTAATTTTGGGGATTCTGAGTTTAAATATAAAGCTGCTAAAGGATTTGGTCCTGGTAATCCTTTACATATACAGCATGTACAAATGATGTGATAAGTCCTTCTGTAATTATTAATATTATAGCTTTAAGCACATCTTGTAAAAATTTTAGATTTTTGTTTTCACGAGAATTTCCTTATTTATTTCAACATTACTTTGTAAAAATTTTGAATCGTACAAAAGAATCTCATCAAAAAAAAAAAAGAAAAAATTTTTTTTGAAAAAAAGTATCATTATTTACGACTTATTTGACATTATGAAAACTTGTGTCCGTCGATATGTTTTATATTCAACCTAATGATTTAAAGATATCATTTGGTGAACAACTTCTAAATAAAAATTCCTGTCACAATTGCCTTAAATCACATTAAATGTTTATCAATAATTAGGCAACCTATTAAGTAAATTCCATTACACTAAGCGTAATTATTTGTTATAATGTTTAACTCTATCACTATTCTTGTCTAAATACATATTTTAATTCAAACTATTTAATAATTAAATAACTTATCATCACAACATTACGTCAAAAGTATTAAAAAACACTTTCATTATAATACACCAAAAAGGTTGATCCAAACATATAGCTATTTTAAGACGGAATCATTATTAGAACAGAGTGATGGTAGCCACATGTCCGTTTTTCATTACCTTATATAATACATATAAGAATGTTTAACCAATTAAGAATGCTTAAAATCAAAATTATCAAAATTTCACTTAGTACAAACCTCAAATACAGCACCATCATAACCACTTAATTCAGTTGGACCAAATGGGTTCTGACCACCAGCTCCTCGATTAAAAATTAACGGCCGACCGGAAGGTGGTCCTATGAGCTCAGTAATTTTATCGATCTGAAAAAAAATTAAGTTTAGAAATCAGAACATGCGTATATTCATTCACAGGTATCGTATAATGCATACCTTCATTTCTGATGAAATATAATTAGTTCCATTTTGGGTTGACGCCGACGTTGAATGAATATCATCATCATCTTCGCCAAAAACTTCTAGTTTAGCAACTAAACATAAAATAAATCGGATTAGAATATATATGACAGAATAATGTATATATTACAAACAAACCTTCATTATTAGCATCATCATTCGAAGTTATTTTTGGCTGTAATAATATTTTATAAGGACAACGTTTATATCTATAATAACAATGAAATTAGAATATCTTATCTAGTAAAAATGGTTTGAAAGCAATTATGCTGTATTATAAACTACCTTTGAAAATCGTAATGACCGGGCACGTTACCATGCAAAATTATTTTCTTACAACGATGTGAAACGCCATCAAATAATACATCAAATCCAAGATGAAAATAGTTGTAAAAATAATCTATTGGGTGCCCCATATCTTATATATATATATATATATATATATGTATATGCATGTATGTATGTATAATAAAACATTTATGTCAGATATTATTGTTGATAATGATAAATTATTATAAAATAGCCTACCTCCTTCCTGAATGTGATTTTCTACGCCATTAGACAATGTTTTGTTAGAAGTAGTATCACCATCCTCAGCACTATCGATGCCAATATCTTTTGAATGTATTCGCATTTTGTCCTCTTCCTTGTAAAATATTCTGAGAGGAGAACCTATATCAACAATAAGATCCTGTGGTGTGGTCACATTCAAAAGTATCTCGACAGAGATTTGATTGGAATTGTTTCTAGCCAAAAAATTCACAGTAATACCACGTTTTAGCTTATCAAACGAATGAATAATTAGCCACAATTATTACCCTATAAAATATACAAACAACACAATTTTTAATATTCTGTACCTCAGCAACAACACTTTCAACCTCACCAAGATCCCCATTGCATCCCATATTTTCAGGGTTGACATTTCTTGGCAACGGAGGAGCTGTAACGTTGCGAAAATTGGCACCGTGGTAAGTGTGTAGACGAGAAAGTAAAGGAGACGTGCCATCAGGTAATTCCAAAGGAAGGTCTATAAAGGGTGATAGTGCGTAGTAAAGCTTAAAATTTCTGATGTAAAAAAAGCTTTTTATAAACTGAATAAAATTCCTACCAGTTGAAGAAATAAATAAAGAAATATGTTCTTCAGGTATAGGAAACACAAATGATACACCCTAAAGATAATTAAACCAACAATCTTTCCTATTTCATTATATGATAAGCTTACAACATTTTTTTCAAACTAATTTATCTATTGTAACTAACCGGATAACTTAACGTATATTCATTTTTTGTCTTATCTAATTCCCCAGGGTAAGTGGGACTAAAATTCATATTGTATTAATAACATTGATCATTAAACAGAATTAGATAAAAATAAAGGACATAATAAATACCCAAAAATTTTATAAATCGAAAGAAAAGTTGGTGCAACTTTATTAGAACTAAATAAAGTAAATATATCATATAAGTAAATATAAAACATTATAACCAAGTTATTAGAAAAATTTTCATAAATAATTTATGTATGAAGTATACCTAACTTCACTATCCTGATAGGTTAATCGCAATTTTGAGAAATCGTTTACTTCGATTGATTTTAATCTCTGAGTTGGACCATCAAAACGCATATTAATTCCATTTGCCGGTAACGAAAGAAATAAATCTGTCATGATTGGAGACTTGTATAATTAAGTTTAAAATAAATTTTACGTAAATATACAACTTTTTCCTTAAAAAAAAAAAAAAAAAACGAGAAATCATATCCGATCAAATAAATTAACACCTCATCAGTATATTTCAAGCCTACAGAGGGAATGATTCTAGATTGTTCTCTCAAAAAATTTATAATGTCCCATACCGAAGATCCTGAAGAAACGAACAGAATAAGTGTAATTTTGGTGATCTGATCAAAAAATAGGCAAGTTACTGAAATTTGAATTGATCGTTTAACATACCCAAACGAAACCAGCCAATATTTTTCCCTGGGACCACCGATAAATCAAGCCTCTGTTCACGACGATTTGAGTTATCATGTAAATTGATCATACTAGAAAGCCAATGGATCTAACTATATATGTAACAACTACGTCGTGGATTGAATAGTCAACATAGGCGAGAAATAGGTTATTTAAAATTTGTGAAGTTTCAGACAGTTTAAGACGGTTCAAGTTTAAAAATTATGCCGATCAACGAGGTGTTCTAATTAAACTGTTGTTAAAACAAAGGCAAAAAATATATTTGAGAACGAAAGACACGTAAGTTTAACGCTAAAATAGGTGTGATTGGCCCAGCTCAGTAAAATGCCGAAATGTATGTTGAAATAATATCACGTTATTAACTGTTAACTGTTATTAACTCCAGTCACAAATCGGGTCTGTATTACAAGTGCGCATGTGTGCATAACGATAATTAAGCATCATTTTCTATATAGAGTGTTAATAGCTGATAGATGTGCTAAAAGGGAATAAATGGAACGTACGTATATACTTATCAGGTATTGCAAAAATTCGAAAGCTTGGGTATACACCATAAATAGGGTTCGTCACATCGTCCCCTTTTGAAGATATACAAATTCACAATACGGATTAGCTATAGAAATATTTCAAGTAGTTACGTACCTGTTACGTACTGTACATACGTAGTAGGTTTTTATTTACACGGATCAACCCGAAGTAAAGCAAATAGTTACGACATAAGTCAATAATTTCTACCGCGTCTCTATCTTCTCGTGGCATTAAAAAAATGTCCTAAACCCATTTTATTTATTAAAACTTGCTTTAACCCAAACTTAATCTAACACTAACCACTACTTTAATACCAATATTTGGAGGCTATAGCAGAGCGTAACAATACTGCAATAAAAAACGTAAACACCTTGAGTCGTTACGAGACATAAATAAGGTAAATAATATGGTTTGGATATATGCTTTATTCATTTATACAGGAATGATGATTGATAGTAGTATCGAAAACGATAGTATAATGGCGTTGAGTAAGCGGTTTTCCGCATTCGAAGCGATGATACACCGGCGATAATCTGCCCCATTACACTGTCAACAATAATACTATTGCTGAACTGTACAAGCTTATAACATAATTGATTATTTTATATATATATATATATTAATAATAAATCGTGTTTATTTAATTAACCATACAGATACAATTCGTAAGGAGGGTAATTAAAACGTTGACATATTTCAGTACGTTAATTCTACTCGATTGTTCAAAAATGTGTAAATTAATATGTTGATTTAAAAGATTTTGCAGGAATAAATCTTAGAAAGATTTATTCCCTGCATATAAAAAACTTTATAGATAATTTGTTGTACTGGTTAACGGGTGCAATTAATCTAGAGTCTGATCGATTTCAATTAACCGAGGAATACTAAGATTTTCTTGCTGAAGAAAAAGTCAGCATAAAAAGGTTGATTAAAGATGCTTCAATAAGAAAGGTATGTGCCAATTTATAGCAAATTGAGATGAAAACTGCTAACTTTATAGGTTTAGAGTGATGTTATCTGGAATAGTTCTCATAATCATTAGAATATTGCAGAGAGCAAATTGACTCATATGATGGATCTTCATTTTTTCGACAACCATTTTACTTACCAACAATTAAGGTTGATCAATTTATAGTTAAGGATTGCATGATTTAAATTGGTTAGAATTAAAAGTCGATGAAATAACTGTCAGTGAAATAACTGTCGATGAAATAATTGTCTGAAATAACTGTCAGTGAAATAACTGTCGATGAAATAACTATCGGTGAAATAACTATCGGTGAAATAACTGTCGATGAAAAAACTATCGGTGAAATAACTATCGGCGAAATAACTGTCGATAAAATAACTATCAGTGAAATGAGGCGAATCCTTTATTGCAGACATCCTCTTGCAAAAAATAAAATGAGTGATGAACAGGTAGATAGGAAAAACCTGTAAATTATGCTTTCTGAATATTTATGTTTAATAGAAAATTTTTTTTTAAAAAAAAAGCAAGTAATTGAATACTTAAGATTTTAATGTTATTTCATTAAGGTGATTCAAATGATATTAAAATAATAATTATTAAGTTACTTGATTCTAAATATTTTTATGAAAATATTCAAAGCATGATCTATAGATTTTCCCTACCGTTACTCAAATTGAACGTAATTCGTAAAGTTACAGATGGGTCAGAAGGCACCCTTGTGGAATCTGTAATTCATTTGATTGAAACGTCCTTATACCAGTTTACCAATTGAGTGTTATGTAGAAGTTCAAGAGACGAAAAACAATTTATAACTAGTAAAATTACAAGGTTTAGATAAGCATTTTTTAGGTATAAACATAATGAGCTTGTGTATGTTGAGACTCATTTTTTAGGCATAAATATAATGAGCTTGTGTATGTTGAGACTTCATTTACATGGTTATGAGATCGCAAAAAAAGCCAATTGCAAAAGATTTATATTTCATTCGGTATAAATATTGCAGATGTGTTATAATAGTTATATTCTGGGTAAAGCATAACTGATGTATCGATTGCGTAAGCAGCCGAAATGGCAGTTATACCAGTAAATTTTCGCTTATACCTAACTATATACTCAGGTATACAATATTTATAACAGTGGCTTTTTTAGAAGTTGGTGCCTAGGCAGTAACCTTTATTATCCCCTGGTCAACCCCATCTATGTAACATTTTTCATGTACTTATTTCTACTGGACATAATTTAGGTAGTTGGGTATTATCCTATTTAATCTTAAATATCAAAAACAAATGCGTAAAATAAAGGTTCACTCTAAAATAAGTACATGAAAGTTATGCTACATAGATGGCAAGGGATAAATCAGTTATATCCTGTGGAGTTGGATATAAGCGAAATTTTGTAGTAAAGTATAATCGGCCGCTTACGCGCCGATTTTATACTTATTGCAAAATTCCACATATACCTAACTGCCTAGAATATAACTATTACATATATAGATGATAGTTTAATACTTTACAATTTATTTCACGAAAAAGATTAAAATATTACCATCCTATATTCAAAGTGAAATTTCTACTTTATTATGAATTAGCTGAAAAGATATAAGAATTTTTCATAGACTGTTATTACGAGTATGATATTAGTATGATTGTTTAAGTAAAATGTGCATTAAGTAATTAGGATGGAACTATATATGTTAAGGATGGAACTATAAATGCTAGTGAAATGTGCATTAAGGAACTATAAATGCTAGTGAAATTAATTTTGCCATATTTCACAATTTCACCAATAGCGATAGTGGTGAAATTATTTCACTAATTTCGCCAGCACCTTTAGATGAAACTCAAAACATTATCGTTTGAGCTCAACCCGGTTGAACTAGCTAGTTTATCGAGTCTGTTGACACATTATAAAACTAATAAATATTATATATATCTAGTGTTTGTAACAGTTATATAATTTTGTAGTTAATCAAAAAAAATATTATTACATATTATTTTTAATGTATAAAAGGATCTTTAATTTTTAACCATCCAAAATCCATGCTGATTAATTATCCATGAATTGGACTTCAAAAATTTGGATCCAGTACAATTGGATAGCCTATATTTAATCGATTGGTCAAATTGACGTCAAAATTACGAACTCGAGCTTATTTTAATAAATAAACTAGGAAAACAGGTGTCCGAAGCTATAATACGTATTATAATTTTTTACGGGATCTTCCGTCTTGTCGGGCTAATCCGTGTCGAGCTGTTTATATGTTTTAAATGCCGATTGGCCCAATATCACGTGAGCAGAACCCAAGACATTTTATGTATTTTTACGTCTCCATTGTATATAGTGTTCCGATTTGTTAGTTAAACAACCAACTAGTTGCCAACTTTTCAACTGGTTGATTTAAAAAAAAATTTAAACAACCAATCAATTAATTAATCAATTAATTATTTAACTAATACAATTCTATAATATTTTTTTAATTAAACTAATCTGTGTTGATTTTTTTGATTTAATTAGCTAATTATATAATGAAACTATATGGTATATAAAATGGATTTGTTGCATCTATAGTTGACAACTAACCAACTCGGAACATTGCTCCGTTACGCTTCGGACAATAAGCTTTTTACAATTTATGCGATCAAATATGGCTGGATCTGAACTTCGAAATTGTCTTTGACGAATAATTTGAGTTTTTAAAATTTTAATTAATGTATGCGTTACACGAAATTTAAATCCCAAATTTTGATTTATTTAGACATTATTATAATTTTTTTATGTGGAAAGGTCACATGGTTGAATTTAATTCGTCAAGTTAAATTGACAATCTTCTGATTGGTTGTTATATTTTCGAAGAATTGATTTTTCAAATTTAAACTTAAATAAACTTCAATAAACTTCTAATAAACTTCAAATAAATGAGAACCAATATTTTAATTTAAATTGAAAATTCAAAAAATGCCGAAGCCTGGTTTTCCTAGTCCATTCTCCAAATATCCAATCCAGTCCGGCTCTAGTTCAGTAGTTTAATAAATATAATTTATCTAGTTAATGTAGTTAAAAATAGTTTATGTATAGTAGTTAATACAGTTTGTAACTCACCTAGATAATTTTTAACCTATCGTTATGTGTAATATACATATTATATGAGTGCCGCCAAAGGTATGAATTGGGTATGATTTAATATACAGTATGAGGGTCAAAAAAATAATCACTGCAATGAAATATAATATATAAATATTGATATAATAAATATCAAGCGAAATGTACATATAAGTTATTATATACTATATAATAAATAGGTTTTAAGGAAAAATCTCAAACAGTTTATTATTTATTATTTGTTAGACCTGGCGATGATTCGAAACATATATGATACATAATTAAATTTATTCATACATCATAAATGTCTCTGGTTAGGCAAATAAATCCCTGGTTTGAGGTTTTTCCCTTGGCGGGCACTCATGTAATATGTAATGTTTATTGATGAAAACTTATCTACGTCACTTATTTATGTTCTACATAAGAAGTTATTAAAGGTTTATACAATTAAGTTGTAGCTAGTAAAGTAAATAAGTTTTTATCGATAGTCATGTTCTAAAATTTATTTTCATAAACAGAATGGAATATGTTTTTGATTGCATTTAAGAATATCTAATTCTTTTTGATATTATGATTTTGGATTATAATTTTATAGTGGTATTCGAATAATAAAATTGACATTGTTTAATAATAGTAATAAACTATATTGATTAAACTAATTTAATGCTTTCATGAGTAATAATAATTTGCACTATATAGTATATATAGTATATAGCATCAAAAACTGTTCATCTCACACCACCTGGTGTTAATGCTATTAATAATGTAGTCATATTTTAGATTATTTTAGATACATACATATATTGATAGTTTTCAATCATTTTTCCAGTAATTTTTCGGATGAACAGTTATTCCTTTGGTGACAAATACCACCGATCACGTGACTTGATCAGGTAAGAAATCAGTAGTATGGAAAATGCCGAGACAACCGGATTTTGAACTCCTAAAATTATAACTTACCAGCCTCAATTATTCCCAGTAAGTTATAGATATGATTAGGGCGTTCTCAAGCAGCATCTTCATTGTTATTTGAAGGTGATCAAGCATGCAATTGAAATGAAATATTTATTGCAAATAATTGAAATGTTCTTTGTAACAATATGCCGAATATTCATTGTTCGAAATGCGGATTTTAAATTTTAGCCAATCAGTGTAACTCTGAAAAAGGAAAACGTTAACTCACTTAGTCTCCGCCTGATTAAATATTTCTCCGGTTCATATCCTCAATTACTGAATTAGTGGAATTAGTGAATATCAATGAATGCTGCATAGTGAAAACCCGTAGCAGATCGTGGCGATAGTAAATTATATTTATTCAATATGCCCTATAAAGTGAAGAAACATAGCTATTTTTTTTGATTTTTTTATATAACATAATTCTAAGAAAAAAAAAGAACATTTTATTGTTAAAGAATACGCTAAGTAAAATCTAGTAAATTGTAAATGTAATTGAATATATTTACTACGTATATAGTTTTATGCCTACTGTACTATTTATAACTATATATATACTAATTAATACAATAAATATTGTTTGATCATCACTACATTACGTACGTACGTACGTACCTACCTCCATAATGTGGTCTTGAATTCTCCGTAATTATTTACAGTTAGCATATATTAATGAGTGCAGTTAATCACATACGTTCAGTATGACTACGTCCTTACATGATCTTTCAATAGTTTCAAGCTTTCAAGTATATTATCTATTTAAAAAAACACGTAATTAGCTAATTAACCCTTACATATAATGTCTCAGGTGTGATAATGAACTATCGTCACTTGAATAATGTCATGCACGTGATCTTGTCGTCATATGATACATTTATATAACTTATCGTTATACCGATACTATAACGTTAACGTTAACGTTAATAATAATAATAATAATATGAATATAAGTTTATATATTATCCAATAAGCTTATGCATATTTTGGGTTTCATCGTCTATTATTTATGGCAAAATACATACTATTGAAGCTCATAATAGATTATGTATCGGTACGAAATACATACGTGCACACGCACACACTAAAGTGCATAAAATAAATTAATCAAATAAAAATAATACTTAGTACGTAGTCGAAAAAAATGACCGAATTAGTGAATTTCTTTGTTTAAAGTTTACTGAATTGCTATCATTTTAAATTATAAAATAAAAAGTTAGATTATTAAGATAAGTATATCTCAATTGAGAAAAGTAAATCTCTCAAACATTTCCAGACATCCATAAATAAATAAATAAAAAAAAAAGTCGCCAAAAAATGAACTAACATATAAACTTTTGTGTGTATGTTTGTTTAGCGTTAAGGTTTGACAATTTGCCTATTTAAATTGCTGATTACACAATATATATCATTAACCTCATGTTCTCATAAATCACGTACGTACGTACGTACGTACAGTAAGTACTTAAGCACGTATGTACGTACGTACGTACGTCCGTACTTAAAAAAATCATTAAAATATAAATAGATAAACTCGTCCATTTTTTAATCTTGCTCCTTTTGTACGTATAATACATACGCATTCGGTCAATTAACAATGGTAAATATTTTTAGAAAGACTTTTCGACGTTTCGTAAAAATTTACAAGAGACGACAAGTAGCACGTTCAATTCCAGTCGAAACGAAACAAATATTATCGGATGAATGCATTCAACATGTATTCAAATTTCTCAGTGACAATGGACTTTATTCTTGTTTATTTGTGAATAAATATTGGTGCAAGAATGCAATCCCAATCTTGTGGAGTCGACCTTTTCGTAATTTATCTCCGGAGAATCAATCGAAGCTATTGGCAATATATCTTGCACGTATTACCCCCGAAGAAAAGGTGGCATTAAACCGAATTTTCAAAAAAATCAAGATCAAAATCCAGTTACCAAAACATCAACTTACCTACAAATACGAATCTTATTTACAAGAACTTTCATTCAAAGGATTAGAATCGGCTATATTTTCATGGTTAAGCTCATCATTACGTAAACCCATTAAAGATACTCACAGTTTAAACGTGCAAATAGAGCATTTAACAACTCTATTATGCACTTTGTTTTTCCGATCTTGTGAAAATTTAAACTCTCTCATTATCGACAAACATTTGTCTTTTACTAATATTCCTGATGTTGTAGTATTTTCGAAATCTGGAATTTTAACTCAACTTAGAAAACTTCAAATAAATTTTCGAAAATCTGAAAGTATCATAGATTTATTAGAATCCTTACACTTATATTGCAAAAAACTTGAATCCTTGGAAGTTAACTTTATAGAATTTGAAAATGACGAAGCAATATTTGATTCAATATCAAATCTCATCGACCAACAAGAAGGATTAAAAGAACTTCGGTTAGGATATATTCAATCGAGTAATGGTACCAGAACGATATTATCATCGATTAAATCTCAAGTAGATAGCATACATTCAATTCATTTTAATGCTGTTAATTTTAAAGGAATCAGTTTAAAAATTTTGGGTTCTTGCCCAAATTTAAAGAATTTAATATTTTGGAATTCACAAGGTCTTGGTACTCAAAACTCAAAAAGTTTACAAGATTCAAAATATCATTTGGAAAAATTACATTTATGGGGTCAACGAAAACAATCAAATATTACCGCTACAATAATTCAGGCAACCGGAAAAACTGTTAAACAATTATGGGTGGATTCTATATCTTCGGAAGTAGTTCAATCAATTATTGATCATTGTTCACAACTTACCGACCTTCGAATAATGGATTATCAACCAAAACAAGTTCCATTTCTTTTAAACTTACTTAAAGATGTCAATCAATTAGAAAAACTTACTATCACAAGAGAAACTGTAGTTGAAATGGGTGTTGTAAACTTTTCAGGAAAGAATCTTCCTATTAATCTCAAGTATCTTAGATTAGAATGCGGTTTTACTACTGGGCAATTGGAAAAATTACTAACGACTTGCAAAGCTCCTTTGAGAACTTTAGTCGTGGACTATTGTAAATTTGAATTTGCTCATTTAAAAGTTATATCAGATTACATAAAGACTACAAAGTGTCTAAAAGTACTTGGAATCGGAGGGAAGAAAGAGTATAGTCAAAGAGAATCAAGGGAAATCGAGAGTTTAGAAAAAAATTATGGAATTTATGTCATTCCTTTACATGAAATTCATGATTGGTAATTTCCATCATTATACAGTATATTTGTATATATTTTATGATGATTATTATTATTATTTTTTGAACAGGACTAGAAAGTGCCCCATGCACTTTGTGCCCCTCCTCTAATATCTAAAAATTATCTAAAAATTTTACAGAGGTAACGTCCCTAACCCTAGCATGATCGTAATTATTACTTTAACTCTAGAATTTTACTTATTTGGTTATAAAAGCACTAATTGCATAGGGGCACTGTCTAGATTTACCTATATATTATTATTATTGTTATTTTTAGTTTTAGAGTTTAAAAAATCAATCGATCAATATTTACAAGTCGCTACGAACGAAACAAAAATCTTTCTCACGCCACGTTAATATTATAATCATTTGAAGTAAAGACTTGCAAATATATTGTAAGCATAGTAATCTTATTAGTGCTATGTACGTACGTACGTACATAAGTACGTACATAAGTACGTGCATAGAAATGCTATTAGATACCTGATACGTACAGTACGTATACGTATAATTCGTATATCTGTGATTGTCAATCTCCCTACTATGTACGTAAGTACGTACGCACGCACGTACATACGTACCTATCGCTATTCACTGCGATAAATATTTTATTAATCTTTGCTGTCTTCCCGATGAGACAACTTTAGAAAGATTTACTTCAGTTTTTGAACTTATTGGTTGCGCAATACCGCCTTTTCTATTTAGCCTTTTTCTACGTATTTAACTAGTCAAAATAATGTATTGCTAAATCGAGTCTGTTTAATAAATAATAAGTTATTGTTAGGTGTTACGTACGTATGAGTTTTGTCTAGTTTTATAATTAAATTAATATTTATATATATTTAAATGCTATATAAGTTTATTTATAGTACTTAAACATAACTTTATGTAATGAGTCTAAAAAATATATATGTAATATATTTAGAAATTAAGTATCAGGTATGTACGTACGTGCATGTGGTTTAAAAATTGACTCGGATTTGTGATTCGAATTTTGGAATATAAAATACCTAACGTTTAAGGGTAGAATGTTTTTATTATTTTACAAATATATACAATCTATTATCGCATACCCTCCTTAACTACACTTTAGCTTGGTACCAAGCCCGGGACTTAGTGTTAAGTGCATATACGTTTACTTTTTGCACATGCATAAGTTTGAGTCCCGGGCGTATCGATACGTGTACAGAATTTTGTACGACAATTATTATGTTACAACGTCAGGTGTGATATTGCACAAATCGAAAAAAAAAATTTTTTAAAATAAAGTTTATTAAAGTAATAAAACTTTATCTTATGGCCAAGATTAATGGGGATGTTTAATATCAAAATTATTATTAACTATTATAATTAACGTTAGAGTACGTATACGTAGTCACCTCTAAATATAACGCCCTATAATTAGTTTTATAATTAGATATATATATACATATTAATATATACATATTAATATATATATATAATAATTAGAATTAATGAATTTGTGACCATAGGTTACTGTAACCGTAACTAAGATCAGGTGTAACGTGACTATCAGAAACTTTTTTTTATAAAAATAAAACTTCACAGTTAAGGTTAGAGTTATGGTAATGGCTTGGGTTATGAAAGGCATAAGTTATATCAAAATTTAGCAAGGAATTTTTGTTTGTTAGAACGTAACGGTAAAAGATGGTTTTATAGTCCAAATTTTGAGTTATTAATGATTTTTTTAAAAGAGAAAAGTTTTTGTTTTGATTTCACGTTACACCTGATCTTAGTTACGGCTACAGTAACCATAATCATAAACTTTAATAATATTTTTTTTGCCCTAGTATAAATTATGTATTATAAAATACGTATAAATATCAAAATTTCCAATACGTAACATAATTTTTTTAAAACACATATTATAGGACGTTATAGAGGCGTTAAAAAATTTATTACTAAAATTTTGATTTTTTTAACAATTTATATTTGTTGTTTTTATTATATAAATTTTGTAAAATGTATATATTAATTTTTTTTATTTTGAATTTGCTGTTTTTAGGATAAAATTAGTTACAGATTGTATCAAGATGATATTAATTTAAACTATCTATTATATCTTGTATAACCAGGGAGGGTGTAGTATATACTCCCCTAATCTTTCTATGTCCCACGCACTTCCAGATTAGGCTACAAATACCTTTCGCAGCAGCTGAAACCACCACTAGCAGTCAGGGCAAACTGTTAAATCACACAATTCCAGTATCTGGTGCCCTTGCAAGGTTCATTCCGATCCCGATACCCACATCAAGCTAGTCCTTATACCGATCCCTCCCCAACTACCAAACCAGTTAGCCTGGACAGGTTGTTGTACCTAGGCTTTAAGTGCCTTCTGGTTTTACTTCCCTTGGTTCCTAATTCCATAGCATAGGACCTTTTCCTCC